CAAACAAGGCCGTTTGTTGCAAATTCATGAACTAAATAGTATGACTTCGAAGATCTACCAGATCTAAGATTAAGTGAGAAAGTCAATGTTTGGGTTGTCTATGGTGAAACGTTGACCATCATGTGGCTGAGCACCTTGATATCTCTAGCAGATCCTGAGAACCACCAAAATGCAACTATTGGAAAGGTATGGATTATGACAGCCCAAACTGAATTCACGGCCATGGGTCTCCTAGTAAGTTGGGATCCTCAATTGTTTCATGGCACCTTTTCTTTCACAATTCACTCTAGCGAACATCAAGGGTTCCTAACATATCTCAAAAGCATCACACCAGATTGGGGAGATGCCAATGGTTTTATCCAGGGTTTCTGGGAGCAAGCCTTTGACTGTGCATTTCCAGAATCTCAAGAACCAGCTGAAGTGCCTGGAAGCTGCACTAGGGAGGAGAAACTGGACTGCCTTCCTTCGTCTATTTTTGAAATGGGTATGACTGGCCACAGCTACAGTATCTATAATGCAGTCTATGCTACTGCACATGCTTTACATGCTATACAGTCACTGAGATCCAGTTATGGAAGCTTGGGAAGAATGAAAAGACAGCTTCGAGATCTGCAGCCTTGGCAGGTGAAATAGCACCCAATTTTAATGCCATTTGTAACAGTGAAAAAGTGATGCTCATTTTAAAATCAATCAATCAATCAATCAATCATAATCATCTTCCTCACCTTGTTTTATGGGGAAGGAATTCCTCCCACATTGGAATGTGGAACAAACTAAAGCAGAACTTGCCATCCTCAAATATCCAGCCTTTCTAAGCAGCCTACTTGTTAGATACTAACTTGATTGGTAGGGAAATAGTTCTAGATGGGCTTGTGTCATCCTTCAAGGTAGCCCAGGTCAGGAAACAAACACCACAAGACATACTAGAATTCTGCTTTAGTGATATGACTATAATAAATTGAATCCTGGAAGGCTGGCAGTGTTTTCCCTTCCCTCCCTCTTGTACCAGAGTCAAGATGGGGCAATTTTGAGTTCCTTCCTCAAACTGTCTTGTTTTCCCAGGCTCGGTTCATGTTTAACTCATGATCATTGGGCATTTTTCTCCAAGTTTATCTCTGTGCTCTTCTGAACTGCAAACACATAATGTGATTTTTACCTTTTTCTTTCTTTACCTCTTCCAATCAGCTTCATGTATTTCTTCAAGGGCTTTCATTTAACAACTCACTGGGTGAAACACTGGTCTTTAGTGATACCAAGGAGATTGTAGCAGGATTTGATATAATGAATATTATCACATTCCCCAATAATTCATTCCAGAGAGTGAAAGTTGGAAGAGTGGGTTCCAAGGCTTCTGGAGGAGAAGAATTCTTCATTAATGACAGTGTAATAGAATGGCACTGGATTTTTAACCAGGTATGGATTCTGGTATCTTTTTATAGGATATTTACAGGGACTGTTCCCTAAGAAGGGAAAAAGTGCTCTTTGACATATATAATTTATGAAGCATTGGTTCTCAAATGCAGCCAGTATCATATGTGACACTTAAATAAAAGGGAGATACAGTGTTTAAACAACAACTACGCTCAAATTTTCATGTATCTTTCATTTCTATCATCAATCTATCTATCATGAGGATATTTACTGATGACTTAGATTTAGTATACTGCCTTTCCTCTAGGAACTCAAGAGAGCCCAACTTTTCCATTCCCCATTTCAACTCTGTGAACATAGGTGCCTGACAACACAACAAATACCTCAAAATTACACTGGATGCATGTGATATCAATTGTGGATATCCTGACTGAGGCTGGGCTGAGAGGGGTTGATTAGCTCTGCTCTCCCATCGTGGTTCCATGGCTGAAGGTGGACTTTAATGTGAATTTCCCTAATCTTAGTCAAATGCTTTCACCACTAGAGCTGTCAACGAATGAATTGCTTCCCCCCTCTCTCAACTAGATATATTTTGGCAGTGTGACCTGAGGGTGCATGGAAGCCCATAGCCTATGGTCTTCAGTATGCCCACCAAAACACTCTTCCAAGACCTTTAGTGATCACTGGTAACTGATCATATAATCATTCCATAATTCTTTGATGAACAGAAAGAATCTAAGCTTGTCTAACCTGTTCTTCATCTTCATGGACAGACGGTCCCCCTTTCTCAGTGTAGTCTCCCTTGCTACCCTGGTTATCAGAAGAGAAAAAAGGAAGGAGAAAAGTTTTGTTGCTATGATTGTGTTCCCTGTCCAGAAGGGAAGATGTCCAACCAAACAAGTAGGTACTGAAAATAGTGTAGAGTAATGCTAATGATGTATATTATGTAGAAAGTGTTAACTTGATATGAGAGCACTCCAATGAACTACATTAAACATTCTTCCCTGGATTCCTCAACAAGGTTTCTGAATTATGTCTGAGAGCAATGGGTAGAGAAAGTCATGTCAACACCTATTCTTGGGTATTAAAATTCACTGGATGACATTGGTCCAGCAACTCTGTATTACTCACTTTCCTCCCTACTACCAAAAGTATGGGAAATGTTTACCATGTTTGTTAAACATCCATTCTATGATGTGGGAATCCATGTAAACAAATGTGAAACAATGAGAACTCTTAAGAATCATTATACTATTATTAGTAATTAAAAATGTAGAACAGTGAGAGGCTAGGTAGATAAACTTTATTATGGTCTTAGACCAGCATGTGAATAAGTATGCATATATAAAAAGAGTTTACCATAGATCATGAAAACAGCAGTTAAAAGAGGTTAAAAGAGTTAAAAAGGAAAAGGAATGGGGGGAGATAAAATTTTGAGGGTATCAAAGAAATGCAATTTTATTAGAAAATATTTGCTGCCTGACCCTCGTGGCAGTGAACCAAAATGTAGCTAAATTATGGGTAACAGTGATCTTACGATCTGCCAGGAGGTAGAAGATGTACCGGTGATCATCTCTCCCTTGAAGTTCCTTTGTGAGAGGCCAAATGAATACATCCCACAAGTTTGAATAGAAATTACAATGCAGGAGAACATATTGCACATCCTCTATGGCATGGGAGTCACAGGGGCAAAGTTATTCATGAACGGGAAGATTTTGGTGTTTGCCATCAATAACTGCTGAAGGGAGTGCACGGAGTCCCATCAGAGCAAATGCTCTGCAGTGTCTAAGACTTCTTAAGGATTGGCCTGGATTGCCTGGATTGGTGGTGAAAGACAGTCTCCAAGATTTAGCTTACCTTGGTGCTAAGCGAATATCTTTTGTCAAGGATCCTTTCCTTCAGTGATCTATTTCGGGTCACAGCCCATCCTGTCTATTGTCTCATTAGAGAAGCCAGTCAGGGACTAATAACACACATTTCTCAAAACTAGCCATATGGAGAGAATCAATAGTGAGGATTCAATCTGGGTTTTAATTTCTGTTGAATTTTTAATAGTGACAGTCAGCCCTGCTGATACATGAATTGAGATTGAAATCACCCATTTCTTTTTTTCAGGCATCATCAACTGCTTCACCTGTCCAACAGATCAGTATCCAAATGAGAAAAAAGATCAGTGTATTCTCAAAACAATTAGCTTCTTGTCTTACGAAGAACCATTAGGAATCAGTTTAGCATCGCTCGCAATAACTTTTTCCTTTGCTACAACCCTGGTGTTAGGAACTTTTATTAAGTACAGAGATACCCCAATAATCATGGCCAACAACCAGGACCTTACCTATGCTCTTCTGATGGCCCTCCTGCTCTGCTTCCTGTCTTCCTTGCTCTTTATTGGCCAGCCTAGGAAGTTGATGTGCATTTTCCAGAAAATTATTTTCGGCATTATCTTTTCTATAGCAGTCTCATCTGTGTTGGCCAAAACCATCACTGTGTTTGTCGCTTTCATGGCCATCAAACCAGGATCATCTCTGAGGAAGTGGATGGGGAAAAGATTGACCACTTCCATTGTTCTTTCTTGCTCCTTCATTCAAGCAAGCATTTGTGCCATATGGCTGTCAATTTCTCCCCCTTTCCCAGATTTGGATATGCTGTCAGAAACTAGAGAGATCATAGCAAAATGCAATGTGGGCTCTACCATTATGTTTTACCTTGTCTTGGGCTATATGGGACTGCTGTCCATCATCAGCTTTGTGGTGGCTTTCCTAGCTAGAAAATTGCCAGACACTTACAATGAAGCCAGATTCATCACCTTCAGCATGCTGATTTTTTGCAGTGTTTGGCTGTCTTTCATTCCAACCTACCTGAGCACTAAAGGGAAACACATGGTTGCTGTGGAGATCTTCTCCATCTTAACCTCCACTGCTGGTTTATTAGGCTGTATCTTTATCCCAAAATGTTACATTGTCATATTTAGACCAGAACTGAATAACAGGGAGCAGCTGAGAAGAAAGAACTAATTTATATTTTTATTGTGCCACAATAAAGTTGGAGGCAACTTGGGCTACCCCATTGGCAGTTTTGAACAGATTCGAAGCATTAAAAGAAAATGCAACCAATATAGATAAATTATTTTATAAAATGGATTGTGCTATATTACATTTTTTTAAAAAAGTTTCCACAGTACGCTTCCTATCGCTATACTTGTTCAATTAACAAAATGGATATATTCTTCTGTGGCTGGTTCCATGTATGGTTGGTTCCATGTATGGTTAGACTGACCAAGAGTACCTTTCCTTTTCATATTGTATTGTGAAAAGTTCAACTAGAATTGTAATTTGTTATAGCTCCTTAGATAACATGGCTTATATCCGTGGCCATCGTTCCCCATCCTATTGTGTTCTTGAAAGCTGAACTGTAGCTTGTTAATTAATTAATTAATTAATTTATTTATTAAATGTATATGCAATCTATCTCACCAGTGAGTAGATCAGTGGCATATCAGAGACTTGAAAGCGGTCTCTGACTCCTGATCAGTAATCAAAGCAGATCAAAACTTTCAAAGCAAATGTAGATGCATGCATGTGGGAAATGAAATTGAATGGTGGAAGTGAAAGGAAAACTTTGGAAAACAAACCAATTCCTGAAGTGTATATCAACCATGTGAGGTAGGAAATACAACTGAGGAATATTAGCATATCTACGAATTGTGAAAAGGTGTCTCTTGGGGAGGCGTTAGGAATGGCTCCAAACTGCCCAGAGCATTCTTTCAAGGAACACCAAGGTAGATCTGAGCTTCAGGTGTCTGTTGTAGATTGCCAATAAGAGCACAGTTTATTTCCTGGGTACATCATAAAGTCGTAGATACATTGAGTTGGAAGGTTAGATGTGCTATAGGAATGGAACAATGGAGGCAGGTGTGCAAGCAGTGCAATTCTTCCTGTTCACCTAGATGTTTGGTCAGAGTGTGGCAGGTTAAAATAGCTAAAATCTACCGAAATCCCCTTCAGTGGGAGATTCAGAGGGTTACATCACTAGGCCCAAGGACATGGCTAATGCAGAATTCTAAATATCAATATCAATATACTGTAGGTATTGATTCATATTAGTACTCTCTGCCTGAAAATATAGATGACCTCCTCCAAAGGGCTTATTGGCTTATTTCTCATTCCTTAATACATGAAAAGCTTTCCTCTTCTCTGTTAAACTGCTTTTTTCATTCTTCATGGAAAATGGGAGCCCTGCTCCATTGTAAGAAATGTACAAGAATTTCAACAATTAAGGCTATTTTGTATTGCCAATCTCCCCATACTACTTTCATTGGCATGTGCTCATTTAAGAAAGAGTTTAACCATCAGCCACTGATTATCTCACCAAAAACAAAATAATAATCTCTGGTAGAAATCACCTCGTTTTTTTTAGCTAGTCCAAAACATCAAGGGATGTGCAGAAAGCTATTTAAATTCAGCAACACTCAAGAGACAACTCTTCATTTGGTTATAAAGTAACTCCTGACAAATAGGAGATTGGCACAAGGGGTAATAATGGCTTGGTCAGATTAATTGCTACAAGCTCCCTCCCTCCTGTCTCATCTGCCAGAACTTC